TTCCTCTGTTGCAAAGAAAAATTTCTTTGTTGAGAGGTGAGGACAATACTTACCTGTGGGCATAAGGACAAGCATTTAGAATGTAGCTCAGGGTTGTGCTGTTTTAGGAAAGTAATGGTTATAGGTTTTCCTTCAAGATCTATGACTTCATTAGCTCTTGTTAATGGGCTAGTTTTCCAGTACCACACATGATTTCCATCTTATTTAGCATGTCAAATCCAATTAGAGAACAATTTGTTACTGCCTAGACATATGTGCCACTATTTCGCTCTTTAGGGTTATCATGCCACACTGGTCATTTTAGTGGTTCATATATCTCATAACTGGGTATGACAATTGGCTGTTTCCTGCTTTGGAAGCTTTCATGATGCTTTCTGTTCCATGAAAGCTCATCCCCTAGGAGGAAGTACTTAGATCAGTTCTAGCTTAGGAGCCTCTGGGACCTTATTTAATGCTCATGGAAAACGTGTCATGTATTTTATGAGAATGAGTGTTTTGCTTACATGTATATGTGAGAATGATATTTATAATGTGCTCTAAAGTTGAGAAGAGAATATAAGGTACCGGAACTAGAATTATAGATGATTTGGAGCCATTATATAGGTACTGGGTAACAAGAATAGTTCCTCTGCAAAAGCAACAGGTGTTCTTAAATGCTGAGTCTTTTTTTTTTCCTGCTCCCTTAAATATATTCTTTGTATTCTCGGGCATCTCATGGATATTTCCATAAAATAGAATGAGAATGCCACTTATATGTGAAGAAATATGAGCTCTCTACTATAAAATAATAATAATAATATATAACTATGATCCCATATCCTGATGTCAGGTTGACAGGATTTTAAATTACTATGGAAACAAACATCTGAGTAAATCTGTGAGGGATTTTCTAGATTAGGTTATCTAATATGGAAACATCAAATGCCCACAATTAATGCATTGGCACCATCTCCATCTCATTAAGTGAAGTCCTGGACTGAGTAAAAACCTATAAAGGGTCCTGAAAATCATTCACCTCTCTGCTTCCTGAAATCAAGTGCAATGGGACCAACTACCTCAACCTCCCAAGTCCTTGATTCCTCCTCATGATGATCCTGGAACTGTAGTTTGAAGTGACCTCTTCCTTCTTTACATTGCTATTCTCAGCTATTTCATCACAGTAATAAGGGAAGTTAGCAATACAGCCGGTTTTCATAACATTGAAAGCATATTTTAATAGAAATCTATTCTTGAATACTAAAAATATATTTCACAGCATTGGCTATGTTCCCTGCTGAGACAGGTCAAGAAGCTTGATCTGAGTTCCTTTGTGTTCTTCTATAATGCTACCTATCTGTGTTCAAGTTGTAGATCTCTCTGAAATGAAAACTTTATGTAAGCAGAATTTCTAGTAGGCTTAAGTACAGTAAGCAGCCACTTTCAGGCAATCTATATCATTATCATTGCAACACACTTTACCATAAAGTTGTTCAATATTTTAGTGATCTTAAATTTTAATTTTCATATTTTCTGTTTCTGATATGCATGCTTTTAACTTTTTAAAATTGAAAGTTGTTTTTTTTTTCACATAATATATTCTGATCATGGTGATCATGGTTTTCATGCTCTCAAATCCTCCCAGGTCATCTCTACCTATCTACTCATCCAACTTGATGCCTTTTTTTTTTTTTTTTTTTTAGAAAACAAGCAAATTAAAAATGACATTTACCAGAGCATACTAATAGCCTTAAATGTCTTCACACTTTTTGCATGTTAACCTTTCAGAATCTTAAGTCTTGAAGGAAGAAGACAGAGTGAAGTGCAACACTTGTATTACATTATGTCATTTGATTTTTAGGAAAACAAAACCCAAGACACAAAAAATGAATGAACATTTCTAAGTGCTCAATTTTACCTCCTTCAGTTCAAATTTTGTTAATTTGGTGATGTGTACCAACAAAATAAATCCATTTAACATATTTATGTATATTCTTCACTATAGTTCTAACAATTGTATACTAGTATATAGACATCTAATAAAAATAGAATGAATATTATTAAATTTTATAGGACAGCACCTATTCATAATTAACTGTTATTAAATAATGGTTATCAGTGGTGTAAGGATACCTTGAAACAAGTGTCTGTCTTACAGTGTAAAGGCTTATGTGGTATGGGTGGAGTATAGTAAAAAGTGTAAACAAGTGAAGAGATCCTAATAGTTCTGCACAGACATACAACAAAAACAGTGCAAGTAGTTATCCAAAAGGCAGGAGGGAGGTCTCCAAACAGAACAGAACCTGCATCCACTGGAACAGGTACCATCTATTATTTTGGCCATGTCATCTGACCTATCAAGGTAATACAAGTTTTGTTAAAAAACAAATGTAGGCTGCTTCTATAATCAGTCTAAAACTGTGGAAACAATTAGGTTGGATTTTCAGATTTAATGAGCTCTCAGATTAATATGTAAAATCAACTATAAAGTTGATATAAAGTTGGAAAAGCATGATATGGAAATAAGACCTTTATTGGAGAGAAAATACAAGGTAGGAAGAAACCCTCCCATTTCTTCTAGCATGAACTGCCATCTTAGTTTTCTTAGGAATGTCCTAATTTTATAATTGAGGCTCCATGTCCTAGGAAATCCAACAGTCTTGGGAAAACTATGACAATTCCCTTCCATTTCAATTCTAGCCAATTTACAAAGATTCTCAGAATTCAAAAGCATGATACTATTTACTCCCTAAAGATTTTTTTCTTTTCTTTTCTGATTGGGTGCCCATCTTAGTCCCAGTCAAGAAATTTTGAAAAATCAAACTTCACTAACCCAGCAATCTTTATTTATTTATTTATTTATTTATTTATTTATTTATTTATTTTTATTTAATTTTATATAACAAAGTCAAATTAAATGAAAACAAACATTTATACACAATATTTGGGAATTTGGGCGTCGTTCTTTCAAAACTACTTCCTGCTGGTAAGGGGCGCTGTCTTGGGGGATTCGAAGAAGATTCAGATATCCTAGCTGTAGTCTGCAGGGCTGTTTTGTCCAGCTGTTTGGAATGTAGGATCAGCTTGTACTCTGTTTCAGGCGGTCTGGCATGATCAAACCACATTAGTTTGGAAGGAATCCACATCTTTTCATTTTCTGTGGAAACAAAAATAGAAATACTTTTCCCCAGTAACTTGTTATTCAACTTAAATTTTGGAGTCAAAGCGTTTTTTTTTTTTTTTTTTTTTTTTTTTTATTTATTATTTTACATGTCGATCCCAGTTCCCTCTCCCTCCCTCCCTCCCTCCCCTCCAGCCCTCCTACCCTCCTTCCCTCCCTTTTGCCCTCTCTGCCCTCTCCCATGCACTCTAAACACCCTCCCCTCCCAACCCCCCACCACAATACCATATGTAGGGGAATGCCATCCAGTTGGGGTCATGTAGATCTGACAGGTCCTGTGAAGTAGGGACTAGGGCTTCTCTCCTATCTCTAGAATAAGGCAGTTATCCCTCCATGGGGGATATGTTTGCAAAGTCCTTTTGTGCACCAGGGATACATCCTGGCTCCACTGTCTGAGGTCTCTTAAACTGCTCAGACCTTCTGGCTGAGACCCATATTCAGGGGGGTCCGAGTCAGTCCCCTGTTGGCTTCCCAGCTATCAGTCTAGTGGCCCTTAGCTCCTCCTTGTTCAGGTAAGCTGTCTCTATGTACTTCTACCGCATGGTCTTGTCCTCTCCATCTGCTTCTGTAACCCAGCAATCTTAACATGAACCAAAGAACAACAACAATAGATATAGCAAAGTGGAAGATGGAAGGCTCATGGGACTCAGCCCTACAGAAATGACTAATGGCAATTAAGGGATGCTGAGAGAAGAGATATGGTCTTCTCCAGAGAACACACCAGTCCATTATCCAATACCAAATGATCAGTCCCAAAAGCATAAATATGCATAACACCATATAGACTTAGTAGGCTGTATTTATGAATTTAGGAATGTATATGTATGAACATATGCAGATATGTATGTAACAACAATTACTGAAAAAAGAGGTCATGGATTTGAAAGAGAGCAAGAAGGTATATGGGAGATTTTGAAGGGAAGAAAGGGAAGAGAAAAATGATGTCATTACATTACAATATCAAATATGAAAATAATTTTTAAAAAGGCCTAAGGATAAACACCTGCATTTCTAGTGCTGGGAAGCTAACTGGAAAAAAAAATTAAACCATTCAAACCCTAGTGAATATTCCCTTCTTTCGAGGTATTTTCTCTAATCTCACAAGACAAAATTATGTTATTCCCCCAATGCATATTTCTGTAAATTTGTGGCTTACTCATGATACTTTTATGCTCATGTGAAAACACCTCCTCCTCCTGTCCCCAGAACATACTACCTTGAATAAAATATTATTTAAATGTCTACCCTTTCAAATAAACTGATCAAACACCTATAAACAGAAACCACATGTCTTTTTCTTCACCTGTGGCATACTATACTCTGCTTGTTACCTAAATAATAAGTCCCCATTGTGACAAATGAGTAAATGGAAAGAAATCTAGGAATGATAAATGTTGCTGCAATGGAGAGATTTTTAACTGAAGAAATAAAACTGAAGCAGTTTTGGAAGTTTTGCATCTTCTAATTCATAATGGGATTCATTTATTCTCCAACAGTGTGAAACAAAATATATTTATGTGACACCAGTGAAACTGCCAGGCAGTATTTATAAAATGAAGAAAATAATATTTTTGTACATGTTTCATGAGATTGGGTATGAAATTATTGCTATACTTTGACAGATTTGAATGCAAAGAAAATATAAGGAAATAACATGTTATTGTTAATTAAATTATTACTAATTAAAGGATACTAAATTAAAAGAAAGTGAACAAAATAAACAAAGTTGAATTTTCTGCATTTTTTTAACTTTTAGGATTTGGGTAGATGAGACAAATATGGAATATTCATTTTTAGGATGCTCTGTAATCTTTGAACAGGTTTATATTTATGTAGGTGATGAGTGCTCATTTCATCAGCACACATACTAAAATTGAAATTACACAGAAAAGATTAATGTGGTCCCTATGCAAGGATGACACACAAATTTGTGAAACATTTCAAATTTTAAATGAAAATTTAGGAATTCAAACAGAAGCTACAGAGGCAAGCTTCATCAACAGAATACAAGAGATGCATAAAGAATCTCAGATAGTGAAGATATGATAGAAAAAGTAAATACATTTGTCAAAGAAGCTCTGTCCAGGAACTCTGAGACACTACAAATAGAGAAACTTAAGAATAATAGGAACAGAAGAAGAATAATTCCAGCTCAAAGGCCCAAAAATATTTTCAAAAAATCATAGAAATTTTTTTTGCTAACCTAAAGAAGGTTATACCTATAAAGGTACAAGGAGAAAACAGAGCATTTGAGGTGGGGTGGGTGGCTTTGGTCATTTGATGAGTTATAGATGTTTGTCATCATTTAGGAGGAGTTGAGGAGTTGGTTACAAGCTGTTATGAGTCATGATCAGGAAAAAAAAAAAAAAAAAAAAACCTAAACCAAGGAGTTAGATTCAAGGATCTCTTTCTGAAGGAAGGATTGGGGCTATACTATAGAAATGATGGGATAGAAGGATGGATTGTTGAGTCTACTTTTAAAAAACCACTAGTCTTTTATATTTTACATTGATATGGATTTTTCTATAATGATACAAATTTAATGTGATTTTGTTATACTGTATATATGTTTCTATTCTTGTACTGTATGTATGTAACTCATTCAAAAAGGTTATATAAAGTTTTAGTATTTGAAAGTGATTTAGAATAATAAATACAAGTTAGTAGTTTTCTATAACTATGAAACTTATAGTCACATTAGGTATGATTTCAAGGTCATACATAGATACATTTTATACAGATAGGTGATCTTCAAACACTTCAATGACACACTGAATATGGTATTTAAAATATTTTAATAGTATAGGGCTTTTTGTTGCGCCCGTGCTAACAATCTGTTCCTCTAATCAGGTGAAGGCCAAAAGATTGAAATAAGAGACAAGACAGCTGGTCATTAGTTCAACAGGAATTCTGGAAAGCTGAATGCTGTTTATTGAGGGGAAGGAGCAGGCTTATATACTGACTCACAGCACAGTGGAAAACAACACAGGGTCAAGAGTACAAGTTTTCAGGCTTAGTTCCTCCCCTGAAGATGTGTTAGCAAAACAGGAAGAGAGTATCGATAACAACTGTGGGGCAAGATGTTTCAACCAACAGCTTCAGGCTTGCTCAAGGTGTCTCAGGGGTCCATGCAGGGCCCTGCAGGTCCCTCTTTCTTTTAATATAAACTAACACCTGTCTTAGGCATCAGAGGACATCAACATAATTCCTTACCGATCATGGAAAAGATCACCAAGGCCCATAACCTTTCTGTCTTAGGTTGGAAATTTGCCCCCTCTCTCTTACCCATCTCTGGTGATTAGTCTATAAGTTCAGCCATACTTGGACAGAGGCATTCTCTTGAGCTAAAGAGAGTAGAATCTATCTTGTTTGAAAATTGGTCTGGGCCTGTCTAATGCTGTAGCAGGGTAGGCAGATCATGCAGATAGTGCCAAGGACAAGGGCTATGAGTCCCAGTGAGAGAGAGCTTGCCCATTCTCTAATTAATCTGCCCTCAAGTTGAAGTCTTTGTAAATGTCTTCTGCACTGGTTGGTGGAACTCAGGTTCTATTAATGTTGATGATATGCAAGGCTAATGCATGTGTATAATTTAAAAACTCTTCACTCCAGGACCCCTGAAGAAAAGTAACTACAAGTGATGCATTCTCAACTTTAGCAGTTAGAACACAGATATGTGTGAAAGATTTATTGGCCTCCCCCAATAAATCCAGTTGTTCCTATAGAAGGCTAGCTTGTAGATTTAGTTTCAAAATGCCAATTTGTACTAGATTATCGAATGTGTTTTGGGTGGCTAAAGGCTTCAGCCAATTCACCTGATAGTTAATTCACTGTGCTTACAGTATTTACAGATTGGGAGAGGGCTGTCCTTGAAACTGCTGCTGCAGTGGTAGAGGCAATAACAGTCACAGCCATAATCCCAAAATCTCCTTTCCTTTATGCTGTACAAGTTAGTCATCTGTAGAGGACTTCTCCAGCATAGGTGTTACCCCAGGTATTCGGACCACAATGGCTGTTACTTCATACATCCAGCAGCTAACCATTCAACAGACCTACTGAGAACAATTGAGACTTCCTCCAAAAATAGCACTGGTTTCAACAAAAAAGAAGGGAGCTAGAAGGCAAGTGCCTGAAATTCTTATCCTCTAGACAAAAGTGCAATTTTATAGCTGCTTTACCCAAACTATAATTAGTGGTCAGGAAAATAGCCACACAGGGCTACTCAGCTCAGGTGTATCCATTGACCCATACACCCGGGCTTGAGGGGCCCAAGACTGGCCCCGATTCCGGTTTCCCAGCATTGGTGAGGGGTTACCAAGGGCATCTGTTTTTTATCTATGTTTAACACAGCAAAAACTCAAAAATTGCCTGGGTGAAAGGAGTATGGGGCCAATAAGCAGTGACAACCTCCTTAAGTTGTTTTATATCCTTGAAATTTAGTGGGTTGTGCTCCCTAACCCTTTACCCTGAGGATCCACTCTCCCAATCACAGGAAAAGCTTGTCTTTCCTTTCCTAATGTTTCTAACTTAGTGATTAAATCTTTGACCTCCTCCTCTATCCCTCGAGGTGCAGAAGCCCTACTAAAGGGATCATAGGAAAAGGGGTTGTGTCATGGCAGATGACATTTGCGCTCATCAGCTCCAGCAGTTCTTTGTTTTAATTGTTCAATTTCTGCTTCCAAAGTATCTTCTTCATCAGTTACAGTAGGACTATCATCTCCTAGTTGAGATCCCTCTTGTTCCCTGATAGATTTTGCAGATTCTAAATCTTGTACTTCCTCAAAAGTCCTATTCATCTCTGCCACTTGTTCTTTTACTTTAACATTGTTGCTCAGGAGCACATCTTTAAATAGACACCAAAGGTGGCAATAGGGAAATTAGTAGGCATCTCTTCTTTATAAGCCTTTTGGAGATCTCTTTTTCACCTGTTCCCAGTTGGGGATGTTTAAGCCTCCAGAGTGCATAAACCAGGTACTATGTTTCCCTAATATGGCAATTAATTATTTAGCTGTCTTAGTTTTAATCCTGGTACCCTGCCTTTTCAATAAGGCCACTAATTGACTACTGAGAATTTCCTTATTGTTACTGGCACCCATCCTTCAATACACCCTCATTCATTTACTTTGCCAGCCAGACTCTGAGGGTGACCTCTTAGGTGATCGTTTCTTCCCAATCTCTGTGGGACCTCCACTTGAGTGCCCATGCTACAATTTGTTCCACTAATCAGGCAAAGGCCTAGAAACTGAAATAAGAGACAAGACAGCAGGTCATTTGCTTAACAAGAATTCCAGAATGCCAGAATGCTGAATGCCATTTATTGAGGAGAAGGAACAGGCTTATATACTGACTCAAAGCACAGTGGAAAACAATCCACAGTCAAGAGTACAAGGTTTCAGGCTTAGTTCCTCCCCCACAGATGTGTGTTAGCAAATCAGGAAGAGTACCATTAACAACTCTGGGATAAGATGTTCCAGCCAATAGCTTCAGTCTTGCTCAAGGTGCCTCAGGGGTCCATGCAGGGCCTATAGCTTTTCATGACAGTGAGACACTTCTGCTCCTGGAAGCACCAATTTACTTCTAAAAACAATGATGAGCTATAGATGTCTTTTAAGACACTTAAGATAGTGCTCAACATCCTTAGCAATCAGAGTAATGCAAATCAAGGCAACACTAAGATACAATTTTACTCCTGTCAGAATGGCTAAAATTGGAAACACCAATGACATTTAATGCTGGAGAAGATGTTGAGAGAGGGAACACTCCTCTACTGCTGGTGGGAGTACAAACTTGTATAACCATTTTGGAGATTAATACAGTGGTTCCTCAGGAAAATGGGAATCAGTCTACCACAGGATGCAGCAATTCCACTCTTAGGCATATACCCAAAAGATGCACATCCATGGAACAAAGACATCTGTTCAACTATGTTCATAACAGCATTATTTGTAATAGCTAGAATCTGGAAACAACCTGGATGCCCCTCAACTGAAGAATGGATAAAGAAAATGTAGTACATTTACACAATGGAAAACTAATCAGCAGGAAAAATAAACAAACAAACAAAAAGAAAACCATAAAACAATGGAAGCTTGAAATGTGCAGGCAAATGGATGAAACTTGAAGAAATTATCCTGAATGAGGTAACCCAGTCACAAAAAGATGAACATGGTATGTACTCACTCATATATGGATTTTAGACAGAGAACAAAGTATCACCAGCCTGCAATTCATACTGCCAGAGAAGCTAGGAAACAGAGAGGACCCTAAGAGAGATATGCATGGTGGCTTGGAGAAGGGGAAAGGGACATCATCTCCTGAGCATACTGGGAGTGGGGAGAAAGGCAGTGAGTGCAGAGGGAGTTCAGAGAAGGAGGAGAGAAGAGGAGAAGAGAGAAGAATATGAGGGAGCAGTAAGATTGAGTCAGGAGAGGAATAGAGGAGAGCAAGAAAATAGATACCATAATAGAGGGAGCCATTATAGGTTTGAAGAGAAATCTGGCACTAGGGAAATGTCCAGAGACATACAAAAAATGAATCCCAACTAACAATCTGAACAATAGTGGAGAGGCTACCTTAAATTCCCTTCTCTGATAATGAGATTGAACACTACCTTATATGCCATCCTAGAGCCATCATCCGATAGCTGATAGAAGCAGAAGCAGACACCCACAGCTAAACACTGAGCCGAACTCCAGGAATCCAGTTGCAGAGAGACAGGAGTGATGAGCAAAGGTGTCAAGACAAGGCTACAGAAACAACTGACCTGAACAAGGGGGAACTCATAGACCCCATGCTGATAGCTTGGAAACCAGCCTAGGACGGACCCAGACCCGCTGAACATTGTCTCAGTTAGAAGACCTGGGTATTCAATGGCACCTCTGACAGTGGAACTATGATGTACCCCTGGTGCCCAAAGGGACTTCAGGAGTACATTCCTCATGGAGAGATATTCT